CTGCAGCGGCCCGGGCTTCGGATCCCAGGCGCGTACCAACACACCGTTTGTCAAGCCATGCTGTGGCGGCATCCCATATAAAGTAGAGGAAGACGGGCGTGGATGTTAGCCCAGGGCCAGTCTTCCTCAGCAAAAAGAGGAGGATCGGCAGATGTTAGCTCAGGGCTGATCTTCCTCACACACACACACACACACACACACACACACAAAAAGAAACTTTCATATGTCAAAGGACATTATCAAGAAAGTGAGGGGCCAGCCCCTTGGCCTAGTGGTTAAGTTCAGTGCACTCCACTTCAGTGGCCTGGGTTCAGTTCCCGGGTGTGGACATACACCAGTTGTCAGCAGCCATGCTGTGGCAGCGACCCACATAGAAAATAGAAGATGATTAGCACAGATGTTAGCTCAGGGCAAATCTTCCTCAAGCAAAGAGGAAGATTGGCAACACACGTTAGCTCAGGGCAAGTCTTCCTCAGCAAAAAAAATGATAATAATAAAGTGAAAAGACAGTCCAGAGAATGGGAGAAAAACATTTGCAAATGATATATCTAGTAAGGGTCTAGTGTCCAGAATATATAAAGAACTCTTACAATTCAACAATAAAAAGACAACTCAATTTTTAAAATGGGCAAAGGACTTGAACAGACATTTTTCCAAAGGACAAATGGCCAATAAGCACATGTAAAGATGCTCAACATCATCAGTCATTAGAAAAAGGCAAATCAGGGGCCAGGCCCATGGTGTAGCGGTTAAGTGTGCGTGCTCCACTGCTGGCGGCCCGGGTTCAGATCCTGGGCATGCACCAACGCATCATTTGTCAGGCCATGCTGTGGCGGCATCCCACATAAAGTGGAGGAAGATCGGCACAGATGTTAGCTCAAGGCCAGTCTTCCTCAGCAAAAAGAGGAGGATTGGCATGGATGTTAGCTCAGGGCCAGTCTTCCTGACAAAAAAAAAAAAGAAAAGAAAAACAAGAAGAAAAAAAAAAGAAAAAGGCAAATCAAAACCACAATGAGATACCACTTCACATCCACTAGGATGGCTATAATCAAAAAGACAAACATGCTACTGGTGGCCCAGGTTCAGATCCCAGGCGCACACCGAAGCACCACTCGTCCGGCCATGCTGAGGCGGCATCCCACATACAGCAACTAGAAGGATGTGCAACTATGACATACAACAGTCTACTGGGGCTTTGGGGAGAAAAAGGAGGAGGATTGGCCACAGACGTTAGCTCAGGGCCGGTCTTCCTCAACAAAAAGAGGAGGATCAGCATGGATGTTAGCTCAGGGCTGATCTTCCTCAGGCACACACAAAAAAAGACAAAAATTGAGGACATTAGGTTAAGTGAAATAAGCCAGTCACAAAAAAGACAAATACCATATGATTCCACTTATATGAGGTACCTATGGTAGTCAAATTCATAGAGACAAAAAGTAGAATGGTAGTTGCCAGGGGCTGGCAGGAAGTGGGGAATGGGAAGTTGTTTAATGGGTACAGAGTTTCAGTACTGCAAGATGAAAAGAGTTCCGGAGATTGGTTTCACAACAATGTACTTAACACTACTGAACTGTACACTTAGAAATGCTTAAGATGGTAAATTTTACATTGTGTATTTTACCACAATTAAAATTTTTTTTTAATTTTTGAAAAAGACAAACAATAACAAGTAGTGGCAAGGGTATGGAGAAATTGGACTCCTCATACATTGCTAGTGGGCATGTAAAAATGATGCAGCCAGTTTGGAAAACAGTTTGACAGTTCTTCAAATAGTTAAACATAGAGTTACCATATGACCCAGCAATTTCACTCCCAGGTATTTACCTAAGAGAATGGAAAACACATGTTCACACAAAATATCATAAGCAAATGCTCATGGCAGCATTATTCATAATAGTGAAAAAGTGGAAACAACCTAAATGCCCATCAATTGACAAATGGATAAACAAAATGCGGTATATCCATATAATAGATTATTATTCAGCCATTAAAAGGAATGAAGGGCCAGCCTGGTGGCGCAAGCGGTTAAGTGCGCGCGCTCCGCTGCCGCGGCCCGGGGTTCGCCGGTTGGGATCCCAGGCGCGCACCGACGCACCGCTTGGCAAGCCACGCTGTGGCAGCATCCCATATAAAGTGGTGGAAGATGGGCACAGATGTTAGCCCAGGGCCAGTCTTCCTCAGCAAAAAAAGAGGAGGATTGGCAGATGTTAGCACAGGGCTGATCTTCCTCACAAAAAAAAAAGAAAAAACTAATAAATAAAGGAATGAAGTACCAATACATGCTACAACATGAATGAACCTTGAAAATATTATGCTAAGTGAAAGAAGCCAGAAACAAAAAGCGGCATACTGTATGATTCCATGTATATGGACAGACAGAAAGTAGATTAGTGGTTTCCAGGGCTGGAGGGATGGGGGTTGGCAGTGACTGCTAATGGATATGGGGTTTCTTTTTGGAGTGATGGAAATGTTCTGCAATTGGATAGTGGTGATGGTTGCACAACCTTGTATATATATATATACTAAAAACCACAAAATTCCACACTTTTAAATAGTAAATTTTATGTTATGTGAATTATATCTCGATAAAAAATAAATACATGCTTGATGACAGAAACCAGATATTTGCATAGTCTCAAGGTACCTCTCTTAAAATATTAGTAATTACAAAGGGAAAAATAATAAGTTTACATTGGAGAATCCTGGCAGACGCTATCTTAGCCAAGTGATCAAAACAGACACCATCAGTAAAATATATCAACATCGTGTACACTGATATGAGGCACCGAAGAGGGCACATTCACTTCTGTGGTATCCTCCCCAAAAATGCAAAACCTTAACCTAATCATGAGAAAACAGCAGAAAAACCCAAATTGAGGGACATTATACAAAATAACTGTCCAGTACTCTTCAAAAGTGTCAAGGTCATGAAAGACTGAGGAACTGTCACAGACTGGAGGAGACTACAGAGACATGACAACTAAATGCACTGTGCAATCCTCAACTGGATACCAGAACAGAAAAAGGACATTAGTGGAAAAACAGGTAAAATCCTAATAAATTCTGTACTTTAATTAACAGTATCATACCAAGGTTAATTTCTTACTTTGATAAATGTTCTATATTATGTATGATATTAACATAAGAGGAAGCTGGGTGAAAGATATACAGGAATCCTCTGTACTATATCTGCAACTCTTCTGTAAGCCTAAGATTTTCTCAAAATTTAAAAAAAATTAATGTTAAATGCTTTATGATTTAATATTAAATATTAAAATATTTAATAGAAGGTCTGAGAGATAAAATTTAGCAAGTTTCCCAAAAAACAGAATAAAATTCTAGATTTATAGGCCAAGACACTTGTCTGTGATGTGACAAAAACCTTCCTTCATGTGGGAAGAAATAAGCTTGTAAACTCCTGTTCCTAAAACACGGTACCACAAAGCCTTAATCATTTTACTCCAAAAAGACACTTAACGAAAGGGAAGAGAACAAAAGAATGAAATGTTCTATAAAAGATGTTAGATCTTTCAGTTTGTCCCAAGAAAACATATGCTGAGCATTTATGACTCTGCTCCACTATCTCCAGTACTCACTTCCTCATTTCTTTTTTTTTTTTAAAGATTTTATTTATTTATTTTCTTTCACCCAAAGCCCCAGTAGATAGTTGTATGTCATAGCTGCACATCCTTCTAGTTGCTGTATGTGGGACGCGGCCTCAGCATGGCCAGAGAAGCGGTGCGGCGGCGTGCGCCCGGGATCCGAACCCGGGCCGCCAGCAGCGCAGCGCGTGCACTTAACCACTAAGCCACGGGGCTGGCCCCCACTTCCTCATTTCTAATTTCTGACCCTACTTCCTCAGATCAAACTAAAATCTGCTTTATATTAGCCAAATATACTCAGAACTTACAGTCTAAGAGGCCAAAGAGATCATCTAATCCAGTGGTTCTCAAAGAGCAGTCCTGGACCAACAGCATCAGTGTCTCCAGGAAACCATGTTAGACAGGCAAATTCTATACCCCACTCCAAAACTTCTGAATCAGAAACTCTGGTGGTGGAGCCCTGCAATGGAGTTTTAACAAGCCCTCCAGGTAATTCTAATACAAGCTAAAGTTTGAGAACCACTGATCTTATCCAATTCCCTCACCATAGAGGTGACTAGCTTAAAGGCACAAGGTTTCTTAGAAGTGGTCATGCCTAAAACCTAGGCTTCCAATGCATTTATGACTTACCACACACTGTGCCACCACAGGTGCTAATCCTTACCTCTGGGACAATAAAGCATAAACTGAATTCCTATTTCATAATACCACCACCTCAATTATCCTATCTCCCTTTCCCTACCATCATTTTCTGTTCCCCTAGTTCCATCAACCTTTTTGTCATGTGGTAGGGTTTCATCTTGTCTTGCATAAAATTTGTCACTTTAAATGAAGTACAACACTCCTGGTAGGCAATCGAAGCCAAAGGAGTTAGATGCCTAATTCCCTAAACTGATTCTATTATTTTAAACAGAACTAATAAGTGTTTCTCATGTATCTTCTCTACTCCATCATTTGTCTCCTTTTTGTATTTAATGGAAATATTATTCAGCACATCAATGCAATCAATTAATGATGATTTTCCTACCCTGACATCAAGGGTCAACTCAAATGCCATATGTCCCACAGGCCAACTTCTGGTATATTGTGCATAAATACATAAAGGTAAGCAAGATACCATAAAGTATGCGTAAACTCAAAAATATATGCAATAAACCAAGAGGAAGAAAAAGGGAAGCAGAGTGAAAATTAAGTTAATCCTTTCCTTGACAAATCAAAACCAAGAGCAAAATTAACTCAACGAAGTTATCTGTTAAACATTTAAAAAATTTTTCAATTAAACATAAATTAGATAAAACAATCTGCTTGAGCTAGAGAGACCTCTGATAAGCTTCACTTACCAGAACTTCAAATTTTAAACTAAGAAAAATTTGAATAAGCTGGTATTTAAATTCTTACCGGGCCTGGTGTGGTATCTTCATCACTGTCTCCATCCTGACTGCTTTCCATATCAACACTGAGAATCACTGTATCTGAAGTGCTCTTGTGTCCTTGCTTGTTACTTTCAGTATGAACATCTAAGGATGATTTTTGCAGAGTGGATTCTGCCTTGGAAGATGTGGCTTCCATCTTTGGAGTTAAAATTCTTCTGCAAGTTTTCTTTATTTCAATCTTCTTACATTTCTTACACGCCACTTCATTGTTAGAATTCTTATCTAAGAGGGATTTGGGGCACTTAAGTTGGTCTGGTTTGTAATTACTGAGTGAAAAGGGGACAAGACACACCTTAGCTGTTTTTCCTAAAACTGTAGTCTGTACTGGCCTTGGAGATACAAAATCAATGTTTTGGTTTTCTTTATATTCATTCACCTGTTCAGGTCAATAAAGGAAAATGGAGAGTATTAGAATCCCAGATCCTATGTCTTTTCTTACAGATCTGCGTAAATAAATCTAATTCCTATTTCATAATAACAACATAAATCCAAACTGATAGCCTGTAAGGAAACTTTTTTCCTCCAAAATCTAGATACTTAATTCATTAACCTGAATAGAATTATTTATTATACTGGGCACATTTCTTGCCCATATGAGTCTGCCAGGCCAATAATAATAATGACTACAATTTGTATCTAAGGTGACTCTACCCCAACTGTCAGCTTCTGAGTAAATGGAATTGTTTCAAGAGTAGGAAGCTGACACTAACTGCTGCAAAAGCAAATGCAGAGTCCCTGATCCCATCCTGCCACTATTTCTGGGGTTACTGACAAGAACCTTCCTCAATGCTGCAGCCTACTCTCACAGAGGAAACCAGGGCAGGGATCCCCGCTTATCTTTTGAAGCAACACCCCGAAAAACTCTTTAAGCTGAGGGATGCCCCAAGCGGCGGGAAATCGTTTTGGAGTGAGGAGGTGCCGGGTGCCAAGTCCTGGTGCCCTCCCGGGCCTGTGCCCGGAAGATCCCTCTCGAAGACTGAGTCAGGAGCACACCCGAAAGCGACAAGCCCTTTCTCACCTTCACCTGGAGTCGCTGTCTGGAGCCAGCCTTCTCAGCCACCGCGCGCGACCCGGACATCTTTCCGCTGCTTAACAGCTGGCGTCTTCCCGCCAAGATTGCGGCGGGAGGCGGGGGTGGGAGGGAGTGGGAGGGGCGGAGCCCGGGCGGCGCCGGCGGGCGCTCAGATCCCAGCTGGCCGGGGGGGAGGGGGGACACGGGCGTTACCGTCGTCCCTTAAGGAGCCAAGCCTACCAGCCTCACCCCCAACTCAAATTCTTTAGGGACGCGATGGGACCGAATCGACATTTTTACCTTGGGTGCCGGTGATTTTGATGTTGCTGACGCCAGTATCTCACTTTGAAAAACACTGGCGCTTCTGCTGAGGATAAGCCACCTTGCCTTACAACGTGAGGCTGGAAAAGATTCAGACGCACTTAGATGCCGGATAGAGAGCAAAGGAAATCGCAATCAACATGCAGCCCTTACCTCGGCCCCCTGGTTCCTTATACCACCACCAGGAAATTAGGCCCCATGGCTACCACATTATCTTATTCCTAGGAAGGGAAGTTTTTTTTAGTTTTTTTTCAAGAGCTGATAACTTAAGCTAGTTTAAATTTCACCTGATCATCTGTCCACCAGTTAACTAAGATCCTAATGAGGACCTTACAAAGGCCAAAGGCTAGGGAAAAGTTGTGAATCAAATAATTTTTGTATCACAAAGTAACATAAGATTTTAGTGCACTGTATTTCTTATAGTCGCAGCCATATTAAATTTTTTTTCTATTCTCTGGGTTGCTGTGAGCCAAAATAATTGTCTTCCCATCACACTCCCTCTGGACAGCATAGTTTTGGAGCTGATAAATTCATAATATAAATTTCTATCTACTTTATTTTTAAGGTCCTTTTCTTTCTAGCCCAAAACTGCTCCCTTGGTTGGTTATCTGAGTCCTCCACTGTTCCTTTTATTTCTTCTGCCAGCCTAGGCCCAAGTTGAGAACACAAGTGAAATAATTTGAGAACTAATCCTATTAACAGCACCTTCAAGGCCCTCCTTGATCTGGTACCTGCCAAACTTTCACCACTCCTTGACTCAAAAATTACTGATAAAATCACACTTTTCATGGTGTCTGATATATACGCTATTTCTGGACTTCAAGACTTTGCTCATGCTGTCCCTTCCCTCCCAACCATAGCAGTTTTAAAATCCCTTCTACAGTGAAATGTGTTCTGACTTCTAATTAGCCAATTTTTTTTATATAACCAAGCTAGTAATTGCGATTGCTTCTATTATGATTCTATAAGCCCTTGAAGACTTCCTAAATTAAATTAAAGCTTCTTGAGGATACGAGCCTTTTAACAATATTCGTTACTGCTTACAGAGAGCTAAGCACAGTTAACACAGCAAGTACTTAATAATTACTCAAAGACTTATATACAAACACTTCCCAGCCAGGAATATATTTTAAAAGGTGGTCTCCAGAAGCGGAAAGAACCGGAAAGCCTAAAAGTAGAATGTTCGGATTTCAGGCGTTGACTCAGGCCCCCTGGGGGATTTTTTTCTTTCTTTCTTTCTTTCTTTCTTTTTTGCCACTGGCCTAAATCACCGCGACCTGCCCTCGCGTGACCAAAAAGTACCGCACCAAAACCCACTCAGCCTCATCAGCTAAATTAATCAGACACTATTAGCAGGATTTCTATTCCGATTAAACTCTAATTCTGAGCTTTCTACAGTCTGGACAAACTGCCCTTCACTATCTCCTCAGTGTCTTATTCATCACTATCCCATTTTCCTCGGCTTCAAACCAAGCTAACAAGCGAAACCTTTCATTCGGACCTTCCTCGCCGCAGGGTCTTAACCGGAAAGCCCAACCGAAGCAATTTCCCGCCACAACCGACGTCCAAATATGTACTTCCAGACTGAGGACGCTAGGGCAGCCTATGAACATGCGCAGTAACAGACTCGGCGTTCTAGCGGTAGTCGCCCAGAGGTCCTCCACAATCCCACAATCCTCTGGTCGCATATTTCCGGTTTTTCTAGCCCAGCCGTAAGTGGCGTTTCTATCAGTCGCGCAGCCGTGTGTAGCGGCCCTAGGCTGGGAGGTGTTTTCTGTTCGTTGACGTTGAAGCTGTTCGCTGTTTGGAATCAGTAAAGTTTCGGGAGTCACCGCTGCTGTCGTCAACATGTCGGTCCCAAGCGCACTCATGAAACAACCGCCCATTCAGTCTACGGCTGGGGCCGTCCCGGTTCGCAATGAGAAAGGTACTGTGCTGAGCCGTTTTCCAGTCGGGTCTTGTCTCTTCCTTCCTCAGCGTACTCCAAACCTACCCCGGGCCGACCACCCCAACCCCACCGACCCTTAAGACCCTGCCCCCTATTTCTTCGACTTTCCCCGTCACACTCGCACCCGATCACGTTGCCTAGGGTAAAGAAAACCCACTTCCATCTCATCTTGTTCCTATAGCCTGTCTGCCCTCACCTACAGCAAGCACCTATCTTCCCTTGGCCTCCACCAATTCGTTAGACTAACATATATAGTGAATGCCTGCTGTTTGCAGGGATTTGTGCGGGATACAGTCCCTCTTTTTTTTTATCCATAGCAGTCTGTTTATGCTGCTTTTATAACTCATCGTTATAATTATTTATGTATCTGTCTCTCGTACATCATAAGCTCATAACCTCCTTGAGGCAGGAACTATGTCTTATTAAACTTTTTATCCCTGTCAGCCAAGGCAGTGACTGTATTTATTAAATTGAATACAAAGTTGTGTAGGACAGTCCCCCTAACCTTAAGGAACTCATATTCTAATAGATGTGAGACATGCAAAAAGAGGCACATTCTAAACAGTGTACAGTCTTTCACACCTGTAATACCTGTCACTAGGTGATATAAACCAAATACTGTGGGAGGGCAGAGGAGGAATAATCTCTTCAGATTGGAGTAATCAAGGAAAGCTTGAAAGAAAGGTGGCATTTAAGTTGATCCTTAAAGGACAGATAGGATTCCAATGAGTGCAGATGGAAGAAGGAACACCGTTTCTGTTTGAGGAGTCAGAATAAAGAGTCAGGATTTTTTCATTAAGGGTTTTGGAAAATAATAACAGTTCTTACTTTTGTGTTTTTTGAATATACTGAACCCATCCTTGTGCAGCTTGCCTTTTTTTTTCTTTTAACTCAGCATGGCGTTTGAGAAGTATCCTTTGGATACATATGGATCCAGTTCATTCAGTTTAATTGCTTATAAATTCCATTGTATAATTAAACCACAGTTTATTCCCTACTGAGGGACAGTTGTGTTGTTTTTTCTCCTATTACAAACATGCTGCAATTGTCATTCTTAAATGTGTCTCTTTAGTGCACTTGTATAAGAATTTCTCTAGGGTAGACTCCTAGAAGTTCATCTTCAACTTTACTTGTTGCCACTTGCTCTCCACAGTGGATTGTAAGAGCATTAGGAGTTTTTATTTCTCCATGTGTTTATCCACACCCTTGGTTATATCAGATTTTTTAATTTTTGCCCAGTCTAATGAGTGTGTAACGATATCTCATTATTTTAATTTGCATTTCCCTGATTTCTAGTGGGACTAGGCATCTTGTTCGTGCGTTCGTGGATAAAAAAGATAAAAGATAAAAAAAGATAAAAGATAAAAAAGATAAAAAAAAGAGAAAAGGTTTTCTCTTCTATGAATTACCTGTTTCTGTCATTTACCTGTTTTCTATTTGTTTCGTTTTTATACATCCTAAATCTATAATATCTATTTCCCCAGGTTTTTTGGCTTGTTTTTTAACTTTAGTTATGGAGTCTTCTGTTACACAGGCATTTTTAGTTTAGTGTTATCAGATTTATCAATTTTATCTTTTATGGTTTGTGCTGTTTTGTATACTGTTTAAGAAGTCCTTCCCTACAATGAGATCATAGACATTCAGTTTTCTATTGTCTGAATGTTTGTATATACTAAGTAGGATTGAATACACAATTGTGCAAGACAGACTAAGTTAAGGAGCTTACAGTCCAGTAGGGATGTAAATGTTTAAGATAGGTTTTTCACACTTCAGCCTTTAATCTATCTGGAATTTTTTGTGTGTCGTGTCAGTCAGAGATCTAATTTTACCTTATTATCTTAGAGTTAGCCAGTTGTTCCTACTACTCCATTGTTTGACTAGCCTATCCATTCTCCGTTGCTTTTTAATGTCACTTCTGTAATATAGCAAGTTCTCATATAGGTTGTTTCTCTGGTCTCTACTTTGTTCCATTGGTCTCTATGTACCCCGAGTCAATGACATATTGTTTTAATTCCTGTGAATTTAAATAAGCCTTGCAATCTGATACAAAAACCCTCCCCCCCACCTCACATTCTTCTTTTTTTTTTTGTTACAACTTTATTTTTTTAGAGCAGTTTTAGGTTCACAGCAAAATCGAAGGGAAGGTACAGAGATTTCCCATATACTCCCTACCCCCATACATGCATAGCCTCCCCTATTATCAACACCCCCACCAGAGTGATACATTTGTTACAATTAATGAACCTACATTAACACATCATAATCACCCAAAGTCCATAGATTACATTAAGAATCACTCTTGGTGGTGTACATTCTGTGGGTTTGGACAAATATATAATGACATATATCTATCATTATGGTATCATACACAGTATTCTCACTGCTCTAAAAATCATCTGTGCTCTACCTATTCATCCCCCTCACCCCCCACCCAACCCCTGGCAACCACTCATCTTTTTACTGTCTCCATAGTTTTGCCTTTTCCAGAATGTCATGTATTTGCAATCATACAGTATGTACCCTTTTCAGATTGGCTTCTTTCACTTAGTAATATGCATTTAAAGTTCCTCCATGTCTTTTCGTGCCTTGCTAGCTCATTTCTTTTTAGTGCTGAATAATATTCCATCATCTGGACGTACCACAGTTTATTTATCCATTCACCTAGTGAAGGACATCTTGGTTGCTTCCAAGTTTTGGCAGTTATGAGCAAAGCTGCAATAAATATCAGTGTGCAGGTGTTTGTGTGGACATAAGTTTTCAACTCCTTTGGGTAGATACCAAGGAGCATGATTGCTGGATTGTATGGTAAGAGTATGCTTAGTTTTGTAAGAAACCACCAAACTATCTTCCCAAGTTGCTGTACCATTTTGCATTCCTACCAGCAGTGAATGACGGTTCCTGTTGCTCCACAACCTCATCAGCATTTTGTGTCATCAGAGCTCTGGATTTTGGCCATTCTGATAGCTGTGTAGTGGTATCTCATTGTTGTTTTAATTGACATTTCCGTGATTACATAGGATGTGGAGCATCTTTTCATATGCTTATTTGCCATCTGTATATCTTCTTTGGTGAGGTGTTTAAGGTCTTTGGCCTCACTTTGTTCTTCAGACTTGTCTTGGCTTTTTGGCCTCCTTCCATATGATTTTAGAATCAGCCTAGGGACAACTTTTTATGGAATTGCATTGAAATTATAGATCATACATTTATTAACTCAGGTATAGGTGCCATCTTCTCATCCTTGAACATGATATATTTCTCAATTTATTTAGATCTTTTATATCTTTCAATAAAATTATATGTTTTTCCTCCTGAAAGCCTTATACATCATTTGTTGAATTTATTCCTTGGTATCTTATAGATTAGTTGCTATTGTAAATGGTATTTTTAAACTGTATTTGCTAATTACATGTAGCTAATGTACAGGTACACTTATTTTTATCTAGCATTCTTCCTGAATTGCTTTTTTTTAGTTTGTCTGTTGGTTATCTTGTATTTTCTACATAGATAATCATATAGTAGCAAATTATGGCAGTTTCTTCCTTTTCAATCCTTACCTTTTACCTCTTTTTCTTTTCTTATTGCCCTAATTAGAACCATAATAAAATGTTGACTAGAGGGTGTGATAGGGACAAGATAAGTATGCCCACTGTTTTTGTTGTTTTTATTTTTTTTCTTGAGGTAACATTGGTTTATAACATTATATAAATTTCAGGTGTACATCATTATATTTTGATTTCTATGTAGATTACATCATGTTCACCACCCAAAGACTGATTGTCATCCGTCACTGTACACATCTGCCCAGTCACCCCTTTTGCCCTCCTCCCTTTCCCCTTCCCCTCTGGTAACCACCAGTCTAATCTCTGTATCTGCATGTTTGGTTGTTGTTGTTTTTGTCTTCTTCTATTTATGAGTGAGATCATACAGTGTTTGACTTTCTCCCTCTGACTTACTTCACTTAGCATAATACTCTCAAGGTCCATCCATGTTTTTGCAAATGGCAAGGTTTCATCTTTTTTATGGCTGAGTAGTATTCCATTGTGTATATATACCACATCTTTATCCATTCGTCCCTTGATGGGCACTTAGGTTGTCTCCAAGTCTTGGCTATTGTGAATAATAGCATGCCCACTGTTTTTTAAAGGAATGTTTCTAATGCTTTTTCATTAAGTATAATGTTTGCTCTATCTATTGTTAACATTATGTGACTTTAAATATATCAACTTTAAATAGTACATTACTTTTTCCCCTGTTAATTTCCTAAGATTAAGCCATCCTTGTAGTCCTGGGCTAAATCCTATTAGGTCATGATGGCTTAGAGTTTTTTTGTTAGTTTTTACATTGCTGGAATAAATTTGCTATTAGTATTTTTGTATCTATGTTCATAAGTGAAATCCTCCTAAAGTTTTCCTTTGAACTGTCCAGTTTGGTTATCAAGGTTATATTTATCTTATAAAATGTATTAGTTTTCACGCTCTTTCTATTCACTGTAATTTTTGGTATATGTAAAAGAGAGTATCTACTCTTGCAGGGTTGATAGCACATAAACTAAAAGAAAAGAAGGTAGAAATAGATAAAATTAGAAGATTGAGTTATGTGGTAATATATTATAAAGGCAGCCATGGAAAATCCCAGA